TAAGACTTTTGTTGGACGTACTTGAGATAATTTTAATGTAACAGAATTGTCCGTCGGTATAAACCAGCAGATACATATGTATATTTACTGTACACATTAATACAAACATATTATTACTTTTTTGTTCATCAGAAAATAAGTAAGTTCTGGCGGCCCCGGGATCTTGGTCTATATATTTTTCTTAGTTTTACTTACTATCAAACTACGCTGTATATTAATACAAAATAGGTAATTCTGTTTTTTGCTTATCTAGTGTAACACTAAAAATCTTTGAGTTCTAATTACAAACAAAAAAAAATTGAAATGTTCCACTTGTGTGTATACAGGGTGACTGGTGAATTACTATCAATATTTAAGGAGAATACTCGGTACATGATTCTCATTCCAATTATGTAAAAAAAATAGGTACTTAATTTTTGCCAAATTTCCGTATAAATAAATAAAGTGTTGACACGTTCCAAGTGTTCCAAGTGTGGACGCGTGCGGCGGCGTGCTGATACAACACCACGCCGCGCGCGCGTATGTGTGAGTGTGTGTGTATACCTAATCTGTAGGGTGGTTACACGATGCGTAATTAATTACACAACTTTTGGTTAACTTTACTTAGAAGTTTATTAATATTTATGTTATATTAATTTTTATTTTGTCATATGTGATCGTCAAATATCACGTCCTCAAGTATCGATAGTAATTCACCAGTCACCCTGTATATATAAAAGTATAGTTTTAGGAAACCTTCAAGTGATATTTAAAATACCTATTAGACAAAATACAAAATCAATATTACTATAATTTCGATATACGTTTTTTAAAATTTATAAGTACATAGTGTTTATTTAAAAAAACAGTTCAATATGCAAATATCTAAAACGATTGCTGTAATGAATGAAAATATAAATATTACACGATGATCTCTTTTTGCCGAATTACTTCCACCCCACTCTATTCCGTCTGTAATATGACATGCGATAGACGGACGAAAAAATAGGTCAATTAACGTTTCACTCCAATAAGAAACTATTTGATTTTGTTCACCTTCGTATGAAAGGAAACGTGATTATTTAGTCACTAGATTGACTTTAATAAGTTCGTTGGAGAGTATTCGATACATCAAAAAACTGTGTAACTTCGTTTTATATGTTGTTCAGAAGTTAGTTGAAGCATCTATAGTGAAAATTATGAAATTTTCTTTTTTACTCCTTTGTAATCTTCAAAATATTTCCAATAGTAGATACCTAAATATATATACAGGGTGACTGGTGAATTACTATCAATATTTAAGGAGAATACTCGGTACATGATTCTCATTCGAATTATGTAAAAAAATAGGCACTTAATTTTTGACAAAATTTCCGTATCAATAAATAAAGTGTTGACACGTTCCAAATGTTCCAAGTGTGGACGCGTGCGGCGGCGTGCTGATACAACACCACGCCCAGCTCGCGTATGTGTGTGTGTGTGTGTATACCTAATCTGTAGGGTGTTCACACGATGCGTAATTAATTACATAACTTTTGGTTAACTTTACTTAGAAGTTTATTAATATTTATGTTATATTAATTTTTATTTTGTCATATATGATCGTCAAATATCACGTCCTCAAATATCGATAGTAATTCACCAGTCACCCTGTATAATTTTTCTTTACAAATATTACATGTTGAATATTGAGCGGGAAGTTTTCATGTATGCTTGTTGAAAATATTAAGTTTTAAGGGTTTTGTCTACCGACGATTCTTTTGCTACAATTAGCACCATCTTTGATGTACTACTTATAATATATGTACTACGATTCTTAGTTTAATTTTTAAATTGTAATATTTAAGTATCACTTTGTATTTGAAAACTATAAATACTGGCTTCATTTTGTATGACATTACTGGAAGTAACGCTGAAAACTACGATAGAAAATCTTAACACATATTTAGAATGGACTAATAAAGAAAAATATGCGAAAGGCGTTAAATTCGGTTATTTTTTATCCGTGTTACGATTTTATTTTACGGTTGAATCTAATGGCTTTGACGTCACTACGGCTTGAAAGTAAAGTAAAGCAGTTTACGATTGATTTATAAACCGGTTGCAACATTCTTTAGATTAAATTTTAAATTGTTAAATTAAATTAACTCAAAATTTAACCTACTATATAGTATTTTTTTTTGTTTAGTATGACTATTCAAAAATCGGTATTAATTTATCTATCTTATATCCTACAGATGACATCCCTATTAAGTATGACTATTAAAAAATCGTAAAAAAATTATTCATCCCATCCCTAATTCATCTGATTGACCTGTTGAAGAATGTTAGGTATTTCTACCCATAAATCAAAGTTCAGGTACATACTAGCTAACTAGCGGTCGGTAATAAGTTGTGAGCTTGTTATAAATCACTAATACAAACATAAATTTTGCTAAAACGTAAACATCACGTGAGTATTCGATCGGAAACACTGTTTATTTTCTACGAGAAACAATGCCGATGTAGGTGGAGAGCCACTGAATGCGCGGGAAATGTTTTAAAAATATTATACTAGATTTTATTCCTATATTTTCATGAGTACTACCAAGTTCAATGGACTTATGAAGATCAATAGAAGAGATTTAAGTATTGGCATATATAAATGATGATCCAAAACTAAGTTGTATAAAAAATATATTTAATAACTTGGATAATCCCTACTGTCCCTACTAATATTATAAATGCGAAAGTAACTCTGTTTGTCTGTCTCTTACTCTTTCACGCCTAAACCACTGAACTGATTTTAATGAAATTTGGTACAGACAGAGTTGACGTTGAGAAAGAACATAGGTTAGTTTTTATCCCAGACTTTTGAAAAGTTCTCTTGGAAACGAGATATAACCGAACTCCACGCGGGCGAAGCTGCGGGCGGAAAGCTAGTAATATATATAGTTGTATAATAATTTTAACAGCTGATTCGTAAACGCCATGTTAGTTTACGTAGCTACATGCATAACACCTAATCTATTGTTATGTTGGCCGTAAGATTGAAGGAAACCATGCCTTTAATGTAAATATTTGATGTACATACAGTATCTGCTATGGAATTTTCTAGAGTTTCGTATATAGCAAACTATTTTTTTAAACAAGCATTGTTCATAATGATGAAAAGTGTTGCCATATTTATATCATTATTTTTATTTGTACATGTAAACCCTTATTCATCTTCTTCCTGGCAATTTTCCAGCTTTAGCCAGAGTCTGCCTTACATGTTGTGAATAGTTTTGTCTAATTGTTTTTACGACCGGCCGCCTGTCTGACATCAACCCTCTTTGGGAATCTAATACCCTTATTTATATGAGTAGAAAGTGCTGGGACCTGATTTATGATAGAAATCTTCTGTTTCTTATTAAATCTAAATAATGGATTAGAATCCATTAAAATCTATGTATATGGTTCGTTTGAATAATTTTTAGTAAAACAATGGATGAATGAAATGATGCTGTTTCTTAAGTATCAAAGATAAAATCTTCAAGAGAAAATTTCTCTATCGAAATATAATCATTTAACCTTTTTTACGTCTTTCTTCTTAAATTGCCTAATCTCGTACGCGTAAGTTTGTTTAATATTTGTCATGCCATGCAATTATATCTATTATGTAATAATTTATTTCTATTTATGGCTTTTTAGTATATTATTTCCGAGAAAAGTGAAGAATTATATAACTGAGGACGTTTTATGAAAAAATAAAATATAAGTAATATTTAAAACAAGCTGTAAATAATGTTCGGTAAACAACGTGTTTTTTTTTTGGAATGACATTTTCATCTCGTCTATCCGAGATCACGGTTGCTGCAAAGGAGCCGAAACATCGGGAGTATGTAGTTTAAAATAATAAAAAACGCAATAGTACATTCTGAAAAACTAAGTTTTATTTAAATTAATACATGTGAAAATCTTAAATATCATTGTATAATTTTAATACAAAATACGTAGTAATATTTTATAACTTGTTAATTTGTAATTCGTATTTATATATATACATTAGTTCAGATATTTAATAAATAAATATAAATGCTAAAATCAGTTAAGGTTTTACAGATGCTAATGAAAAGTTTTATATATTGAGAGGCATAATGTAGGCATTTTTGTAATTATATATCCATATAAAGAATCGGATGTATTTTAAAAATAAATGAAGACATCTAAGACTTTCTCGATTAAAAATCTCGTCTGTCCGTGATCACGGTTGCTGAAAAGTAACCGAAACCTCAAAAGTATGTAGTTTAAAATAATAAAAAACGCCTAAAAATCCGAATAATATTACTTTCATTTAAATAAAATTAGACTCAGTAGAGTTGAAGTTAAAATGAGACGTTTTTTTCATCATGGTAGCAAATATTAAATATTTTTTTTCAGTTTATTTTCTTTGTATTAATGATGTAAAAAAACGGCGCCATTAAAATCATATAAACTTCAATAACTGCTATGAAAACATCGTTAAATAAAAATTTAAATACGATCTATTTACGTTCTATGACTAGATCATGTTTATAATATCTTGACATGGAAAATCAAAAGTTGTTCAGATGGCTCGGACGTAGGAGAATATTTTAGAGAAATATTTTTTAACGAAGATATAAATTTGGGGGTATTTTTTTACTTAATGCTTTCCTATTTATCTGTTCTTTGTCATTTATTATTTGAATGTACTTAAATATAATTCTTTATGTTTCATATTTCGATATTATAATGCTTTATTCGTGAAAATATATTTTTCAAATGTTTTAATGTTGTCAGTAATTAGCGCTAAAAGACGAATATAAGTTAGTACAATAATAATATAATAACTAGTTTTACTTTAAAACGAGAGTATTAAAATATATACATAATAAAAAACTCCTTTTTTTACTTCACGAAAACAAAGCCTATCTATTTGTGAAGCATTAAAATCTCTTGATAAATAAGAAGATAGATCCAATAACCCATTACTTATAATAAAACGTGTGATTCCAATCAAAATAATGATTACATCGCAGAAGTTTTGGGGTCCACAAATTGATCCGAGGCTGGCCCAATACCTCACAAATTTTCTCTTCGGCTGCGGTCAACAGAAAACAGCTACAGTTGATTTTAATAGATTTGCTGAGCTCTACGTCTACAATGTCAGAGGTGGGGTGAATCTTCATACAAATTACTTGATCCTACTAATATTAGTTTGTGAGTGTGTGTGTATGTTTGTCACTTCTTCACGCTCAAACGGCTGAACCGATTTTGATAAAATTTTGTATTCACGAAGCTGACGTCCAGGAATAACATATAGGCTACTTTACATCCCGGAAATCCGCGGGTAACACCGCGGGGCGCAGCTAGTATTTTAATAAAAAAAAAATTTTTTATCTTTTCCCAGGCACTGTTGAAGAGAGAATGATGGTGACGTATAATTGTCTTGGTATGGATTACAATGAGGACGCTGAATTGCCCTATCAACTATTAAAAGAGGTATTTATATATAAGAACGCCAATTTAAATATGATTAAGAAGTAATATTAATTAATCATTTGATTATTACGTCAATAGCTTATTATATGTATTTGTTTCATGATACAAATATAAAAATGAATACTATTAAGTATGTAGTTCTGTGTGGTGCACTGTACACCATGCCTTTACCATGTCAATGTATACCTACACCGGGGAGAATAACTCAGTATTGTATAAAAGTTCTTTCGAATTATAGAACCATTAAACTATAGATTATTTTTATTAAGCAACTTATAAACGTTACTACCCCGTAATACCCCGCTTAACGCGACCCAGTTGTGCGCGGTTTCGCTATAACGCGATTTTCAAAAATTTATTCAGGTTGGGACATTGCAGAATATAGACAATAATCATGACAACGCCTTGACCGTGTGTCAAACGATTAAAAACAGTGTTTGGTGTTATGAACTTATTTTACAAGAACGTAAACAAAACGCTACCCAAAAGACAATACATGTATTTTTTCGTAAAAAATAGGAGTACCTATGTATTGTATAGTGTTCTTAGAATTAAAGTGTTTGATCAAAATGATTTTTATATTTGTGTATTAAATTTTGATTGTGTTTAATCATAAACCTCGATATACGCGAATTTCAGTTAACGCGATTTTCTTCGGAACGTATCCCTCGCGTAAAGCGGGGTATTACTGTAATTCCCACAAGTTGTATATACATGGGTTTTTGATGTCTTCTCATACTAAAATTGAGAAACAGATTCTCATGCAACTCACCAGTAATGCGCCTCGGACATCAATTTAATACAGTCTGGCATTCGGATTACTATCAGTATTTTTTTATTTTACAAACCTACATACTCCCGACGTTTCGCTTACTTTGCGTCAACCGTGATCACGGGCAGACGAAAAGTAACCGAAAGGTCGGGAGTATGTAGGTTTAAAATAATAAAATACGAATAGTAATCCGAATAATATTAGTTTCATTTAAATGAATTCTCGCGAAAGTCTTAGATCTCAATAAAAGCTATCTAAAAAGTAACTTCAATAGAGATTATTGTTTTGTCAGTACTGCGAGAGCATAGTATCAACGTACATGAAGATAGTTAAGTCATCTTCAACCAAACGAGCATCCACGTGGTTGGAGAAAGGATTTAGAGCGAGCGCTTCACACGTACAAAGTTTAGGCGAGGCGGTCGCAGCCACTATAGGTGACTTGGAGACAGGACAGCATCATTGTACGGCAACGCAGCTGTCTAAATGGTGAGTAATCTCCATAATTCAATAGTTTTACGTACTTCACTACAACAAATATAATGTTTATCTGAATAAAAATTTGCCAAGAATAGAGACTGACAGACATTCACATCTCGTTTGCCCGTGATCACGGTTGATGTAAAGTAACCAAAACGTGAAGAATATGTAATTCAAAGTCACAAAAAAGGCGTAGTACAATCAAAAATATTAGTTTTTTTTAATGAATATAGCGAAAGTCTAAGATCTCGTTATGAATTACTAGCTGTCCGCACGCAGATTCGCTCGCGTAGAGTTCGGTTATATCGCGTTTCCAAGAGAACCTTTCAAAAGTCTGGGATGAAAACTATCCTATGTTCTTTCTCAAGGTCAACTCTGTCTGTACCGAACTTCATTAAAATCAGTTCAGTGGTTTAGGCGTTAAAGCGTAACAGACAGACAGACAGAGTTACTTTCGCATTTATAATATTAGTAGAGATATATTAAAAGTTAGTATGGTAATGATAAATAACTTGGCTTCCAAACAGGTTACAATCCAACATTCTTCTGAAGCAACTCGCTGAGTTAGTGTACGTGAATCTATACGGCATTAACAGACGTGGTGGTGACGAAAGCCCCACTCCCATGCCACCAGCCGCGCCATCTTTACTACCAGCGGTTGAAGGTAGGACTATCTTTATATATATAATTATTCTCTGAGTGTGTATGTCACTGAAGTTCTCTCAAACGACTGGACCGATTTTGATGAATTTTTTTGTGTGTGTTCAAGAGGATCTGGGAATGGTTTAGATTCACAATTTTGTCCGCTGGACAATGTTTTTTTAATTATTTTTTTATTTATTAGTAGTTGTTGATACAAACGTTTTTTTTGACATTAGATTTGATAACTAACTAATATGTCAATCATTCTGTCGCACTTCAAAACACGGAAATTTATGGCTTTAATAAGTAAACTCCAAAAATATAAATAAAAAACGTAACAGATATTTCTTGATTTTAGGACGATACGAAGTTCGCCGGGTCTTCTAGTATTATTATATTTCTATTTTTTCCCACTTCATTCTGAATGAGAAGCTTTAAAATTAGCAAACGACTTTTTTTGGGGAAAAATTTACCAATATCTTCTTATAAAGTTCATACTATTACGTTTATTATCATAATTAGTTATCAGTACATAACTTCACATAGGATTCTGTCCTAGATTATATAATACGTTTTGCAAGAACAAGCATCAAAAAATATTATATTAATGTCGTTTCAATACTTACCTTAGGAAAAATAAGAGATTTTTTTGAAAGTATAGAGATATTTTTGTATCAAAAAAGAGATTTTACTAAATAATCGTAATTGATTCCCAAAGAGGGTTGATGTCAGGCAGGCGGCCGGTCGTAAAAACAATTAGACAAAACTATGTACAACATGTAAGGCAGATCCTGGCTAAAGCTGTTATTTATTTATATACTCTTTACTGTACACCAATATAGACAAATAATAGGAGTAAAATAAAGAAAAGAAAAATGTACAATAGGCGGCCTTATCGCTAAAACAGCGATCTCTTCCAGGCAACCTTTTACAGCTGTTATATTTCCAGGTAGAAGAAGAATCGTACGTTAAAAGAAATTGATTATTTTTGCAGGGTTGGAAGCAATGCCGGACTACCCTGCGTTCATTGACCTCTCACACGTAGTGTGGATCAACAGTCACCTGCCGCCGCAGCATCAGCATAAATGGAGGTTCCTCTTCTCAACCAATATACATGGGGAGTCGTTCTCTACTATGACCGGTAGGTTTATATACAGGGTGATTAGTTTCGCTAGTAATGGTAGGTATTAGATATAAGGGTTACATATTGATAATTAATTATACGGAGATTTATGATGCGCAAAATTTAAGAAGTGGAAATGGTCTCACCTGCATTTTGGAGCAATTTTAACGTTTGTCCAATAACTATATTTAAATTCCACACAAAATTTTAAAAAATGACAAATTTTATTAGACGGTATCAATTTAACTATTGTTTTTTTATATATAACGTCTTGTCATATTAATATAAACGAAAATTAACTAATGATATTGACTTACATTGAAATAAATAACACAGTATTTGATAGTTTGTATGTATTTTATTTCAGGTCGTATAATAGACCAGGGTCCATCAGTGATCATTATCGAGGACTCCAGCGGGTACATCTTCGGGGGCTTCGCCACAGCCTCGTGGGCCTTCGGTCCCAACTTCACGGGCACCGACGACTCGTTCCTCTTCACCTGCCTCCCAAAGATGAGAGTGTACCCCGCGACCAATTACAATGATCACTACCAGTACTTGAACCATCATACGAAGACCCTGCCCAATGGACTTGTGAGTTATAACATCTCTCACATATATACAGGGTGACTGGTGAATTACTATCGATACTTGAGGACGTGATATTTGACGATCATATATGACAAAATAAAAATTAATATAACATAAATATTAATAAACTTCTAAGTAAAGTTAACCAAAAGTTATGTAATTAATTACGCATCGTGTGAACACCCTACAGATTAAGTATACACACACACACACACTCGCGCGCGACGGCGTGGTGTTGTATCAGCACGCCGCCGCACGCGTCCACACTTGGAACACTTGGAACGTGTCCACACTTTATTTATTTATACGGAAATTTGGTCAAAAATTAACTACCTATTTTTTTTACATAATTCGAATGAGAATCATGTACCGAGTATGCTCCTTAAATATTGATAGTAATTCACCAGTCACCCTGTATATATTATAACTACCATTGGATAATTCCGCGTGTCTACATTGGAAGCAAATTATCAGAAGAAAGTTTAAGTTGAAATATTTTCTAAATTAATTACTTTTAAAGTAATCTTTTCCTAATTACTAATTATTTAGTTTTTAATCTACTTATTATTATGAATCAAGTTGCGATTTCGTTCAGCGAAAATCTCATTAGCATAGAAATATTTTGAAATGGTTAAAAAGAGTTATTCATGCGTCACCATTACTTTTTTATATATACGTATCTGTATACTATGGACTGTAGTTATTATACATATATATTATATAGGTACTTATATATTGCATAAAATACGATATTTCTTTCACTGTTATATCTCTAACAAAATATCATCGTTACATTTTAACTAATATAAACCAACTAATATGATACTTTCAACATATTAATACATCATTTACACTATATAACACATATAACTATAAATCCACAGCTAATGGGTGGCCAATTCAACTTCGGTGGTATCTGGATATCAGCGGAGCCGTTCGGTGACGGCGCGTCAGCTGAGTCGTGCAGCACCTACCGCGGGTACAGGAGACTCAGCAAGGAACCCACCTTCAGACTTAGATCACTAGAAGTCTGGGCTGTTGGGGATAAACCTGTGCTTGATAAGGATGGGGTGAGTCAACTGTCACTTGTCAGCTGTTACATGTCACTTATCAGCTGTCACTTGGATGTCAAGTGTTACATGTCATTTGTCATCTATCACTTATCAGTTGTCAGTTGTCATCTGTCATCTAAAAATATGACAATGACATTTCGACCTGTCATATGTTACTTTAAATTGTTGCCTACATTAAAATTACGATTGATCAATAATTTTTTAACAGGTTCTTTAATAATTCATCCATTTTGTTTAAATTCTATACTAAGTTAAATTTGCCGTTATATATACAGATTGCAATTTAATGAGATTTGTTGGTTAATACTTATTAATACGGGGACGCATGCATCCTATTAACTCTAAACGATCATCATCCATATCTATGAGTCATCCCATACCTATCCCTACATCCTAATTCCATATTAGTCATCCCTATCCCTGTAACCTAATCCCATTGACTCCATCCCAGGACATGAAGACGTCTCAATCCTCCAGCGTCCTCACGACACATAAATCTGAACGAAACCTGTTAGAGATGATCGGGAAACCTCAAGTCAGCGACGGACTTAGAGATAATTTTGAGGGTCTGTTAATATTATTAAGAAGATTCATCTTAGATTATGTTAATAGTTATTAGTTTAAATTACTAATATTTATACATAAATAGTTTTTTCCGCAACTTCGTCCGATATTTTGTCTTTTCCGTTTAGAGAAAAATGTCTAAATGTGTGTTGTAACAATGTGTGTAGAAGATATAAACTGCAACGTCATCTGGCTGGCTGATTTGTGATTCTTAACCATCTAGGGCGCCACCCAGACGCATAAAAGTCATTCAAATCGGTCCAGCCAGTTAGGAGGAATTCAGTGACATACGCATACACAACAGAACGATATATATATATATCTTACATAGAACTAATGAAAACTAAGCCACACAATTATATCTAAATTTATCTACTGGGCCACTTAATATGACTATTATTAAAAGTATCTAATTTATTTGATGTCGAAAATATAGACAAATAAAGATTAGGCTTCACTTGCAATAAAAGATCATTCCATAATGTGTGCCTCGGTTAAAAGTCCACTTAAATATGTATAGAAGTATTTAAAATATTAGCTGGTTATAAAATTTATCTAGATGCTAGTTTAATTCCGATCATGAAATACAAGGCACAATAGAATGGAGATTGGACTAAGTCATGATAATAGGATTTGAATAATAAAGATTATTCACAATATTGAAATAAACATCAAGAAATACTTAAGGAAAATCGGGAAAATGTTCAATGGAATTGAGGGGTAGTTGGCGAAGGGTGAAGTGTTATAAGGGTGAGTATTATAAGTAACTAGCTTTCCGCCCGCAGCTTCGCCCGCGTCGAGTTCGGTTATATCGCGTTTCCAAGAGAACCTTTCAAAAGTCTGGGATAAAAACTATCCTGTGTTCTTTCTCAAGGTCAACTCTATCTCTGTACCAAATTTCATTAAAATCAGTTCGGTGGTTAAGCGTGAAAGCGTAACAGACAGACAGACAGAGTTACTTTCACATTTATAATATTAGTAGGGAGTAGGGATAACGCACTACTTGAATAGAAGGTAATCTTAGAGGTCACGCAAACAGAAGTATTCATTTAAAATTTAATTTAAAAACCTATTGTTTGGCACTCAGTTCAGAAACGTTTATCGTTATAAAATTATTGAAAAATGTGGAAATAATAATAGTTAAAAACAATATATAAAAAACACGCTTTTATATTTTAAGCTATTGTTTATTTAATATTTTTTAGTACGATTTTTGTGGACGGAGATCGCACACTAGCTCTGTCCCTTTCACTCTCATAGAGGATCTATGAAAAGAATATATTAATCCTGGCGGCCCTAACGAAGATAATGGAAAATTGTTAACGAATTATTGCATTGTCATTGGTTCTTGAGACATATGCAAAGTTTCAAGTTAATCAAATGTTTAGAAACCGGTGAAAATCGTGCTCAAAGATTCCGTTACATACATACAGCCCAAGATAATATAAGCGTGTTAAAAATAGACTAAATACTAAGAATGTGAAAGTTATATAGAAATATTAATTTAGTTTATGTACAAATTATATTAGTGTATATGACGAAGCCAGAATCCTATACATTGTCTTTATCGTCTCAGCATATGTAACCACATACTGCTCTATGTAGTCATCAGCCTATCAGAAGCCCACTGCTGAGCAAGGCCTCTTTCTCACACGGAGAAGGTTTGAGCATTAATCACCACGCTTGCTCAAGACGGGTTGGTGACGGCTCTATGTAGGCCTCAACTAAAATTTTATCTCGAAACCCGGTAGTCAACTAAATCCATCAAGATTTGGGGGTAAATCTTCAACACATACTAATAGAGAAACACACAATATAATATATTTTTCTTTTCATCTCGTCTGCCCGTGATAACGGGTGCTGTAAAGTAGCCGAAACGTCGGGAGTATGTAGTTATAGTCAAAAATATAAAAAACGCATAGTAAATTCGAAATTATTAGTCAATCTAAAAAAATAATATTAGTACTTTAAAAAATAGTTACATAATATTAATCTATAAGTATAACCTATGATATAATTATTCACTAACTAGTAGCATTACCACATAGAATTAGTAGTTTTATAAAGTACATACAAATAGGAAACGCAATATCACTAGTGTAGCGTTACAAACTTGAGGTAAGAATAGTTCGATTAACTTACGCTGGGTTAACTAGTACTTGTTTTTTTAAGTCATTTCATATGCCCAGCTATTCCATATTGCCCATTCAACTTCATCAGAGAAAATACTTTTTGTCCCCGTCATAGCCAATTTCCATTGCCCTTTAACCTTGTCTATATCCCTTGCCCTCTCACATGAAGAAGGATAGATTGTTTACCATCACGCTTGCTCAAGACGGGTTGACGATTTCAAACTTATAATCTGAAATTATAAGTCCAGGTTTCCTCACGATGTTTTTCCTTCATCTGTCAGTGGTGTCTAAATACTTAGAAAGTACGTATTGACTCGGAAAAATCACATTAATACTCGCCAGGTTTCGAACCCGCGCTCAATGCATGAGAGGCGAAGCCTTTAACCTCTGCGCCACCCTAGACAATAATATTATGTTAAATTTCTATATATATTCTAGGATGAACGTGACGTAAGTATCTTGGACACGAACCCTGAAGCGAAGGCCATACTGGATATGGCTGGACGGACGAGACACAGTGAAGGATTGAGAGAACAACCGCCCTTATAATGTACGTATACAAACTATATCTATATCTAGTTTTTTTTAACAGTATAGACAGTTTATAGTATAGATTAACCGATTTGAAAAAAACTAGGTTGTGTGTTTCATTGTTTATAACGTATTTTTTTAAACTATCTATAACAATTGGATAATTTTTTGCCTAATTTCAAAGCTTTTACATTCCTATAAGGATATTTAATATTGAATATTTTATTTATAACTAGCTTTCCGCCCGCAGCTTCGCCCGCGTGGAGTTCGGTTATATCGCGTTTCCGAGAGAACCTTTCAAAAGTCTGGGATAAAAACTATCCTATGTTCTTTCTCAAGGTCAACTCTATCTCTGTACCAAATTTCATTAAAATCAGTTCAGTGGTTTAGGCGTGAAAGCGTAACAGACAGATAGAGTTACTTTCGCATTTATAATATTAGTAAGGATAATATAGTGTTATTATATATACGTTTTAATAATAATACAATTGAATTCATGTTTTATTATTTTCAGGAAATCATCGGAGTATATTTTTTGGTGTAATTTTCTGTGCGCATTTCGTTTCGCATATGACGCAACGTACAAGTGTACTTAGAGCTGCACGACGGCTGTTTAAACATCACGACACGACATCCACACGATATTATTACTAAAAAATAATAGCAAATGTCGTGTAGGTGTCGTGAGGTTGTCGATTACTGTAAAAAGATTTCGATCTTTTCCAACTGTCATTTTGTAAACTTTAAATGACTAGTCATAATTTATTGAAATATATTTCGCTTAATGTTACCATAATATTAAGTTTATTAAAACTTGTTTTCATCCCGTTCTATGTATAGTAGTTAGCGAATATTAAATATTATATACATTTTTTACAAATTATACAAATGCACTCGATATATTTATGGCGCCAAAATTTGTGCCAATTGACATTTGTTCTGATAACGCACAGTCATGCAACATTCCCGTCTATAGACTCACAAAATATTATTGCCATAATTTTAATAATATACCTATTTATGTTAAATTCAGGCAAATTATCATAATATAGTTTTTGAAATATATAAGGAAATCTGTCTTCATATAGATGGCAATACTTATAATACAAAAGTAATTTGAATGTATGTAATTAATAATTATTTTGCTTGTTGTTTTAACCGCTTCCAGCTTTTGCTGTATGGTCCAATTATAAAAAATATATATATTATATATTAAATTAATCTTTATTTTTGTTAATAAAGTTAGAACATAATTATTTAAACACAATTTTGTAACCATATTTTTTTGCATTATGCAAAATATCTGTTGTTTTTTTTTAGTTTTAATGACTCAGATCTTTTTCTATGGTCCATTGTAAATAAATATTAATCCAAACGTTGTTTTTTTAAACCCTAAAAAATATTTTTGAAACCTTTAAATCTTGTATCAATATATGTATTTCATTAGTTTTTAAATATACAATTAATATATACAAATGAATGGGACAGTTTAATTTTATAATTTATTTCCTATAATGAGTTTTATATGAATTGTAATATTCTCTATGGTTTTATTTGCTTATGGTTAGTTTTTGATTCGGAAGTATTATCTTAATTTAAAATTACATCTTTCTTAATGACTATTAATTCTCCCAAAAAGCTTCGGTATACATTAATTAAAGGAAATATAAAGGTTATTTTTAATAAAATATCTATTATATATTTATTCGTCTCTCTTATTAATGGAAAGATCTATCGGTCCGTCTTCAAGTCTCTCAGCCTTGTTATATATGAAGCCATATAACGGGACCGGCGCCATTTTAACGTTGCAGGATGTATGAGAGTTCCTTGAATGCATTCTGTTAAAAAAAAAATGTTTTCTTTTTGACATTTATAGTCTATGGTATAGATGCTGTTAAATAAGCTTTTTTTTATTCTATGAAATTATCATTGTCTATGATCCATATTTTTTAATAGTGATTCATGTTAATACAACGTAATTTTAATGCCTATTATTTTCAAAATAATTATGTATTAGTTTGGAATTATTATTTACAATAATATTGAGTAATTTAATACAACTATACATAACTTGAAATTATCGATAAAATTGACAAATTATATATAAAATAGTTATTAATGATGCAAGTTCTATAGTTCTAGAACAATACTGACTTGTATTTCCTGCATGCATCAGCTCTATGCCTCTCCAAGTATCTGTGCTGACTGAATGCCTTGCCGCAGTGGGCGCATCGCCACACCCACGAGTGGTGCCCACGTGTGCGTTGGTGGGCGCGGAGATTGGAACTATAGGGATAAATTACAATAGATTATGATACATATAGACGATAATGATTTCTGAGGTTAATGATATAACAAAATATGATGTTAAAAAGTCTAATATTTTAGCGGAATTTAGTAAAGTTATTGAATATATAACTGTTTTTTTTATGGTAAAAAGGGCAATAGAGCAGACGGCCTACCTAATGAAGGTAGTTCCATCGCCTATATACGTAACATAAAAGATGTTATGGATGTGTTTCCATTATTGATTAGGGAAGAGGGGTCATAAAAAAGTAGGAAAAGGAGGGAAAAGGGAAGGGTGAGGAAAGTATGGGATTAGGGAATGGGCAACTGGCTCTCTCACTCATCGGACGAAACGCAGCCATTAAAGACTACTTCACGCCGATCTTCTGTGAGAGGGTGGTACTTCCCCCGGTCAAGCCAGTCAATATTCGAGCTGCAATAACTTAACCACAGCTAGGCTCTATCACCAGTAAATGTATTAATCTTATTTTCAGAATAATATTTATAAATTATGCATTAGTCATCAGCCTATCAGAATCCCACTGCTGAGCAAAGGCCTCTTTCTCACATGGGGAAGGTAAATTACATACATATATTTCTACTTAAAATGGTCAAACGATTCTTTAAGCTAATATATCGTAAATATCAATACCAACCGATCAGCAAAAGTCCTGCCGCAGTGTGGATGTGGGCAAGGGAAGGGTCTCTCTCCCGTGTGTAATCTCAAGTGTCCTTTTAATACCCACGGTCTATCAAAACCTTTGCCGCAGTACGAACACACGTGGACTCGACGCTCCCAGTCGCGCCCTTTCTCTGTGTTGCCATAACAAAAATTATTGAATATATTTTCTATCGAGTGTTGCTATTTTATTATATGTTATTTTGATGTACTATATACTTATGATTTGGATTTTAGGAAATAAAAATAATTTTCGGACTAATCACATTGCTTTAGATTGCTATGTACATATATGTCTTTCTATATTTAATCGAAAATTTAATTGAGGCTTGGGTTTAATCTATTGAGTTTCTTTATAACAAAATGATATAAAATAAACAGTAGGTAAGCCTATGTTTTTATGCACTACTGCTATCTAAACTTAACTATTTTACGCATCACTTCAGCAGTTTTTGCATTCTCGGTAACAAACATACAAACATACTTACATTATAATAACATTTAACAAATACTACTTATCACGATTTTGTTGACCAAAATCAAGCTAAAATTTGGATAGGACATAATAACTGACGCACCGTTTTTCTTTTTATTATCCTCATCCGTTTCCGCGCTAATCGTGTCAATTCTCTCTTCCCTCGCGAAAGATTCCTTACAGAACAAGAGTTCCCTGTTCAGTTTCTCATCATTGTTATTCTTCACCAGACTCTTTAATTTCTCCGCTATTTTATCTATTTCTGTTCCTCTGACTGTTTTCAGAGGTTCTCTGTTCTTAATTTCTTCTATAATCGGTGCTAGAGGTTCCTTCTTTTCTTTGCCAATCGGTTTTCCTTCTATGTTATTCTGATTCTTCTTCTTCTTCCTCTGTGCTCTCGTCTTCTGTCCGAAAACTCTTCTCTCCGTTTTTGATTCGTTCGATCTCAGATTGTAAGTAGATTTGTCATTCTCCTTCTTCGCGCTATTTCTTTTTGGTTGTTCCGGCGAATTTATCGCTTTTTCGCTCTCCGAAGCGTAATCATAGCTTTCCGTGTCCACAAACGTTTTGATGAATTGGCTCTTCTTTAACAGTTGAAGGTAAAACCTCGTAGATATTGGAACTTTATCGTGATACACAGTTTCGTTTAATTTCAAAAGATTTTTCTGTTTTTTCGTCGACGCTTTAGGTATCCTCATCGGTTTGTAATCATCTGCGAAATTTACTATTTAAATAGTATGTGACATTAGGTAACCGTACATTCTAAACTAAATTCTACAATAATAATTTTAAATACTTATATTATTAATCTAAAGTTACATTATATTTATTCTTAAAGACAAAATAAACATATTCTAATAGACAATACTGTATAATTAAACTATTAAACATGTCTTTAATATAAAATTGTGAAATGGTCGAAGTGCAGTGCAACGTAATAAGCAGTAAAACACCTGTCTCTTGTGAGGAAGATATCCGCAAAGGCCTCACGGAAGTCATAAAACACCTAGGCATTATTCGTATTCACTTAATAATATATTTATTATCAAATATGGCTTTAATTTACAATTATTTATTGTCAACAATCATAATACTGTAAGGCACTTGTTGAAACCCGTCAGCTAGAAACAAGAAAATGAAGTTTTTGTTTTTAACAATTCGTATTTTAAATGGTGGCGGCTGTCCCCTCGGCTGCCAGTCTAAATTAAAACAGATTACTAATATACTAATCAAAAATCTTTAAACTAACAATTAATATCCATTATATACACGATCGTATAAAATAAATTAAATTCAGCTTTACATGAACATACGACATTCTGCCTTATACTATTTAACAGCTAGAGTACATTTAAAAAAATAATCTTTTTAAATAGCATATATAATTTTTAATCATAAAATTTATGGCATAATTTACGCTGTAATATGTGGATGTGTTGAGCGTTTGTAAAAATATATATAAAAACTCCTTGGTCCGAAGCTCAAGCTTCAACGATTGGTGAGCGTGAAAAGCGTGGAAATAACGCGCGCGCGGAAAACGTAAGGGGAGGGGGAAGCTGGCATCGATTATTCGCGTCCGAGACAGCGTCGGGGACGGACGTGTCGCTGCGAGGCGGTATAGATACGAGTTCGATGTTATACTAGGGCGTTGTGCTTGTGTTCATATTAAATACAGTGTGCTAGTGTCACGGACGTATGCGGTGATATAACTGGTCTGTGCCGCCGCCATGGGCAACTCCTGCAGCTCCGGTCAAGCCCACAAAGACAAGGATAGCATTTCGCAGCACTCGGAAGAGTGAGTACAATTGTATTGACGCGCATGAAGGTCGCATATCATATAAATTAAAATATCATAATATGTACGTTAAAATAATTGTTCTGTTGATAAGAACAGATCATCATAAATCAATATCGTCGTCAGCCTACAGGTTAAGTTTTTTTAAAAGAACATTTAAAATATTTTTTATACCTCCTCTAAAAGTTCGATTCCAATAAGATATAGAAAGCTGAGTATATTTAAAATTGTATATTCCTTTATTATTATTATGTATCAATTCTTTAATACAAAATCCCTACTTTTCTTGTATTGTTGAGCTCTTTTATAGATATGCGTTTTTACATTGATTAAAAAATATATATAAATAAATCTTTTAACTTACAAAGTCTAAAAATACTTCTTAAATAAAATGTGCCGTGTCAAATAAGGTATCAACATATGTTGTTGGTTTATAATTTATTAATTTAATTATATATGCATATAATATTACCTATCAATAGAATGATAAATATTTGTATTAGAACTATATCTAGGTCCAAAAGAGGAAATTTCGATAATTTTTTTATTCAAACATATTTCTTCTTCTTTAGGAAGTTTATTCTTCCTTACAAAAAAGACAAAACATCGTAATGCCCACATAAAAAGTGATTACTGCTTCAAAATAATAAATTAGTTATTTTAAAATATTACGGCGATTAAAGAAATGTATTGTATATTCTAATAATTATAAAAATAACACTAATTTTAAACAGAGGAGATTCTAATATGGTTATTGAAAAATATTTTAATAAAACAAAATTAAGAACAGAAACGCAATCTCCATCCTTAATAACATAAAAAAATAATTATTTGTATACATAATATTAATTTTTAACCTATTACGAGATTATTAAATGAAGACTTGGTAGAAAATTAATTAAAACTATGAAGAATTACAAATAGTTCAATTTATCAGTCTTGAAATCCCTTTACTTATTATTATATATAGTATAAAAAATATATGAAGATTTTAGTTTGTTTTAATATATTTATATACATATATATATTTATATATTTTTTAGCTGTTTTATTACCATAAACAATATTTCTTTGATCCCTAAAGATCGGCTGAACGTAAATATCTTCTCCCACTCTCCTCTATTCTCTATGGTCATAGTTTAACCTCATGTCAATGTATATTTACATTTGTTTATTGTCAATGGATGACGTCATACGATTTGTCACAAAATATTTCAATATTATTAATCACATAGCCATAATTCTCATCACGTACACACGATGAGCTCGTGGCGGGAATTTTAAAATGACATTTTGTTTTTATTATCTATAGATTTATAATATTCGATAAATATTGACGTTTTAAATCGATTCCTTAATCTTGAAATATATTTAGCATCTAATATATTTTTTTATATTTCATTAAATGTGCGTATAATATTTTTTTTTAATTTTTCTAAAGGTATTTAAGGTCTGTATGAGAATGAATCGTTCTCTCGTGGCTGAATGTATTTAGTCCTTTGTCTATCTTTTTATTTTATAAAAAAATATTGGTTTATTTATTAATATTTATTATATTTTACGTTTATTATATATTGTAATTAATAGTACATCAAGTATATCAGTAGGATAGGAACGATAGATTCAAAAGAAATGTTACATATAGTAAAAATTGAGACAGAAAAACAGTACATTCGATATAGCATTTTTTCAAAGAATTTTCACTCACAATAACAGTTATTATTTTATATATTTATATAATATATAATTCTTATATCCGAGATATTTTTTTACGTATTATCATAGATATACAGGGTGACTGGTGAATTACTATCGATATTTGAGGACGTGATTTGTGACGATCATATATGACAAAATAAAAATTAATATAACATAAATATTAATAAACTTCTAAGTAAAGTTAACCAAAAGTTATGTAATTAATTACGCATCGTGTGAACACCCTACAGATTAGGTATACACCCACACTCACACATACGAGTGCGGCGGCGTTGTGTTGTATCAGCACGCCGCCGCACGCGTCCACACTTGGAACGTGTCCACACTTTATTTATTTATACGGAAATTTGTTCAAAAATTAAGTACCTATTTTTTTTACATAATTCGAATGAGAATCATGTACCGAGTATGCTCCTTAAATATTGATAGTAATTCACCAGTCACCCTGTATAAGCTTACTAACCTTTCAATTCAATCAATTCAATCCAATTCAAGAAATTAATGGAGATTATATTGTGAAATTTATTTTGTCTAAAATACAAATGAATATAAAAAATAAAAATAAATAATACATAATGTGGATATAAATAAAATGTTAATAACAAATAACACTCTTGCTCTTATTAAATTAGTATTTTTTAATTTTTTATAATTATGTAAATCGAGAAAACTTCTTGGTGAATAAATTTAGACAGACTTTCTTCTCGTCTGCCCGTGATCACGGTTGCTGTAATGGAAACGAAACGTTAGGATTATGTCATCATCATCAGCCTATCAGAGCCCACTGCTGAGCAAAGGCCTCTTCTCACATGGAGAAGGTTTGAGCATTAATCACCACGCTTGCTCAAGACGGGTTGGTGATTTCAAACTTATAATTGTGAAATTATAAGTACAGGTTTCCTCACGTATTTCCTTCACCGTATGTCAGTCGTCTCTAAATACTCTCAGAAAGTACATATTATAGATTATATAGATATAGAATAATAAAAAACGTGTAGCATCCGAAAAGCATAGTTACATTTAAATATGTATACGTGAAAATTTTGAATATCACTGTTGAAGCTCCTCTCCCTACAACGATGGACCCGGCACCCGCACCGTGAATACATAGAATAAAGAGAAAATATTTTGTCTCATAAATTTAATTTACATTTTACACCAATCAAACATCGGCATCATATAGAGTATAAGTCAAACTATTATTCCATTTTTACAAGAAGTCACAGTGGAATTAAAATCCATTGGTCTTTATGCTTAGTCCAAGTTTGCTTCGTCACTATATGTAGCGTTTCCAGTTTATACTACGTTAATATTAATGAGATCTAAGACTTTCGAAATTATTCATTTAAATTAAATATATTTTCGGATATTACGTGTATTTTATTGTAAAAACTACATATTCTCGCCGTTTCGGTTACTTTACAGCAACCGTGATCACGGGCAGACGATAGAGAATGTCTCTGCGTGAAGTTAAAACTATATTTTATTTATAATACATGAAATAAAACATCCACTGATTGACATTTCAATATTTCATTTACATGTATAACTTAGTGAAAGCAATATATGTTAAAGATTATTAATTTGAAACGAATTAGGTACCTAGATAAAACCATAATTTAAAGCATCTCATTATAAACTGGTCTTGAGGGTTTCACCAATAGTTAATCAAGAGTATGATGGATCCATCATCAACTAAGTTTACAACCACTGGCTGAATTACCAAAATTATGTATTACTGCCTTTTCGATATAACTGCAATTTTTATATTTTGAATTTGAGTCTTAATTATATGTTTATTAAGTAACAAATCGATTGTCTCAGAAGAAAAGTACCAGCATGAATCACGGAAAAAGCTAATAATGAAAAGGTTGTACTTATACGACAATCCCTACTATCCCTACTAATATTATAAATGCGAAAGTAACTCTGTCTGTCTGTCTGTCTGTCTGTCTGTCTGTCTGTCTGTTACGCTTTCACGCCTAAACCACTGAACTGATTTTAATGAAATTTGGTACAGAGATAGAGTTGACCTTGGGAAAGAACATAGGATAGTTTTTATCCCAGATTTTTGAAAGGTTCTCTTGGAAACGCGATATAACCGAACTCCACGCGGGCGAAGCTGCGGGCGGAAAGCTAGTAATATTATAAATGCGAAAGTAACTCTGTCTGTCCGTCTGTTACGCTTTCACGCCTAAACCACTGAACTGATTTTAATGAAATTTGGTACAGAGATAGCGTTGACCCTGAGAAGAAACATGGGATAGTTTTTATCTCAGACTTTTGAAAGATTCTCTTGGAAACGCGATATAAACGAAATCCACGCGGGCGAACCTACGGGCGGAAAGCTAGTATACAATAATGCTAGAAAAAAATTTAAGTAAAAATACCGTAACTGATTCTCTCAAAAAGTTTCTGAGATATCCCAATATCATAGCACAAACATACGAACAGCTTTTTAAACTAAACTCATCCTAGTTTGAACGAAAATATAGTGTCCCAAATAAATGTCGCCATTTTGTTGACAAAGATATGTGTCAAATTTAAGATAATGGCGTCATGGTAAATCATTTTTTTTAAATTCATATAATATAAATTTTATTGTACATAATTCAAATACGAATTTTTATATTTTCATCAATTAAAATTAAATTATTTATCATAATGATCATGGTTAAATATTACCAATTTCGTTATGTAAACTACATATTATTTATTGACGAGAAATAATTTAAAGTACTATCGACAATACGTTTTAAATTGTATCATTATAAGTCTTTTGGATACTTTCAACGTTCTTCATCAGCATATCAGAGCCCACTGCTGAACAAAGGCTTCTTCTCACATGGAGAAGATTTGAGCATTAATCACCACACTTGCTCAAGACGGGTTGGTGATTTAAAACTTTTAATTTGGTAAGTCCAGGGGTTTGATCACGATGTATTCCTTCATCTGTCAGTGATGTCTAAATACTCTCAGAAAGTACATATGACTCGGAAAAATCACATTGGTATTCGCCAGAATCGAACCCGCGCCCTCGTGCATGAGAGGCGGGCCTTTAACCACTAGGCCACTACGTTAATTAGCATTAACTTTTAAGTAAAATAAATTTATAATATCACAGCGACTCCTCTCTTAAAATCTTCTATATCTAGCAGTTCATATATTTACAAGCCACAACCACACATAAAACCTTGAAATATTTTTTCTTTATTACAAAATGGAATTACATTAGACTGGTTTTAATATATACGTGGTTTTCCGAAACTCACAACAAACGA